CCGGGGGGGTGGATGGCCTTAATATAGATGGACAACCTAACACTATAATTCAGGCAAAACTCCCTACTATCTAGAACCTCACTCCAATAGGAGAGTACAGGAGCACAATGTTGCATGCAAGATAGGGAAAATAAATTATCGAGTTCCCCTCCAGAAAGGAACAAATAGCGAGGGGAGAGGAACAAATGTAGTCTTGCTCTACATTTATGAAAAGGGGAGACAGAACAAACACATGACAATAGAAAAGGGACATGGCGCTTGAGTGGTTACCCTTGACGGATAACCATAGAGCAATCTACATAGTATGATATATGACTGAAGTAACAGAGTAAGTTAATCAGAAAGCAAAATGACATGCCTTCAGCAGCCTCATTATTGTTTGGTTTATGCAAAGCACGATATATTGGATCACATGTGAACATAACATCCACGATTTGATGCCTTGAGAACTCCAGAATTCTTTCAATAATCTGAAACAATTAGACCATAATTACTCAGAAAAGCTTAATACTTTCACATGCTCAGATCGAGAATTTTTTAGGACCAAGAACATCATACCTCTTCTTTATAAAGCATCTTAGGCATGCCATCATGAGCCATGATAGCCAAAGCTGCATGAATTGCTTCCAGAGCGCAATAAATGCATGACATCACATCTGCATCTGGCTGGAATTCAAGCAAAATAATTATACATCTTGTGGATATAAAACGAAAAATTAATATAGATTCGTGAAACAAAAGTAACTCTTGAATATCATTACTAACGGCCAAAATGAAGGCAACATTCTCTCAAACATCTCATTTCATGCTTAAGATATGTTCATGAAGGAACTGAAATTGTACATACAAGGCACATAACCAATGTTCAAAACTACAGAGCGATATGGACGAAATAATCGCATGGCACATGGAGAAGAGGAAAATAGGAAACAGCAGAAGGCTACAATTAAGTTAAACTTGAAACAAGAAAAGGAAAAGTTTTAACTAGCTGGTTACTTTGCCGAGCAATTAATAGAATATCTATAAATAATATAGAAAGCATTTATTGTATTTCAATATGATTGACTAAAAATGAAAGATCATGAATGAATTTGTGCAACTAAATCGCTAGTGAGTTCAGCACATCGATGCCAGAGGCTTGATCGTTTAACATGTGTCATTAAAAAACTGAAAAAATCGGTAGAAACATTTTTGCTCATGTCAGGAAATGAATGGGGACAAGATTACGGCTGTGTTTGGAATTGGACTAAAATCTAAGTTAAAGTCAACAATAAATTTTAACCATACATTTCATGAGATTCACAACTTTTCAATCACACATCCCATCATCTTTTATCAAAATCTACTAAAAATTTGATTTTTATTTAAACCAAATAGAGGCTATATATTTCCAAAAAACAGGGGAGACTTGAAATATATATTACATTGAGGAAATAATAGTGCATACATATGAAAAAGAATGAAGACAGTCTGAACACGGCGACAGAAGTAAATAAAAAAATTGAAGAATTCATAAGAGAGGCTTCAATCACTTTACAACGTACACACACCTGTCCTCCAACAAATAACTTTTGCAACAAAAGAGAGGCTTCAATCACGGGAAGCTGTGACGGGTATTAAATATAAACTACCGGAGGGTGTACTATACCTCCACATGTATAAATTTCAAATGCCAAATCAACATTTTCCTCAATAGCACAATTAAGGAAATGTATAAGAGTAAGTTATCCTCTTCCCATTCATGAGTAGGGAGAGACAGCAAGGCTGCTTAGGCCATAGACGTCATGTCCGCGGTTAGAGTGCATAATTGATCTGCCACATGCTTCCGAAATTGAAAACAAGACATAAATGTGAACCAAAGAATGATTCCACTCCAAATCTTTTAAAATCAAAGTAATTAATGAATGAATTTATATCAGTCAACTAGGAGGGATTCGAGCAACTTTAGCACGATTTTGTGATTGGAAATGGGTAGGATTACATTTCCATAAATAAAGGATATTTGATATTAAGGTATTATGGTTGACAGCCAAGAACCCAGGCCTAGGATCTCCAAATCAGCAAATAGGACACCTATACATTAAGACAATTTTGAATAAGTTAATTCACTTGATTAACCTACGACATTTAGCATTTTTGACCACCTAAAGATGGAATAATTGAATAGACATGCATGGAATGGGCATGGTAGATTCCTAGATATTGACTTTAGCATGAAATTTGGAGATTATTCTTGAGAACTTCAATTGTTGTATCTCAGTTGCTTTATCTAACCAAAATTACATCTTACAGGACTAGTTGCAATATGTTAGAACAACTTCATGTGTTCCTGTTCTTGTTCTCAGATTGTAATCATTGGTTCAATAGAGGTCCCTGCTGCTGTTGAGATTCTATTGCAACATAATCATTACCTAATCTTTGGGATATCATCAAACATGTTTGGCAACAATCAAATTACTCTAAAAAGAGTTAAGAAAATGAAGGTAAATTCCAGTTGCCCAGAGTTCTAAATAGAAGTTAATGCCTCAATATTGCCAATAAGGCGGTAGCAGAACACGTGAAAGCTACAACACATCTTTATTCGGATCACTAAATACAACTGTTTGAGCATAAGAAAAAGACTTATCATTTCACGTATACTTTTCCAATTTGAAAAGGTCAGGATGCCTCGTAAAAGTGACTAGAATAAAAGGACAAACCTAAAATGTGGAAAACATAACTGTGATGCAGAGTCGTACTTACCCAAGAATGTGATGCAGTAATGATAAACATTTTGGTATTCTATATTGAAAGATACTTTGCTCGTCCCAATGGAGAGAACTTATTAGGATTTTAAGCAAATTATATATGTAATATTTATGTATGTTCTCAAAAAATTTGTCAAGAAAATGCGGGTGTAATACTTTTCATTGAACATGAGTAGAGTTTCCTACTATTGGTAGTTTCTTAATTGGGAACCATGGCTTACTATTCCAGGGCACAGGACAGGGAACTGGTCCATATGTCCAGATTGTAGAGCATGGGTAGGATTGGCCAATTATGATCTCTCTGGGGCCGCTAAGAATTCAAAACTTGGTAAAGTCATGCACCAATGAAAGTTGAAAAGCAAAATATTGATAAAGAATCCAAGGTGCACGGTTTTCCAAGTGATTGTTATATTTCTAAATTTATTTACTTAGCCCATGTTTGAGCCCCATTCTCTTAAAATTCATTTTTTTTCCAAACTCATTTTCAACCACATATTCCCCCAATAAAATAATTTTGCACGTAAATCCAAATTTTTTCCTACTTTCTAGGCACACATTCTCAAAAAAATCACTATTACAACACTCATTTTGCCTAAAAAGGGACTCAAACAAGGGCTTAATTCGACAACAACCAGCATAGTACATTGAAACAACTCTTTTCATTTAGGGCCGAGTTGGCTTTGATTGATTTTGAATGGCACCGTTTATGAGATGTTGGAAAAACAGGCGCTTGCTAGCTTTTTTGGGCACCGATTTTGGATGGTTTAAACCACCCAAAACCGATATAGCATAATTTTGACCGGTTCTCTCAACCCACCATTATTTATAAGAAAAAAATTAAATTATAATTAAAAAATAGTCATAAGTAAAACATTACTTATAAGATAAGAAAAATTACATATAATTTAAAGATTTCACATTGTTCAAGGAACTCTGGATGCTGTCATAGTAAAGGATCGTCAACAAGGGCGTTCTATTGCGTTGTAGATTCCTATCAAAGACTTGTATAGTAAAAAATTTTGTTTATAAAATAAAAATACTACTAAAAGACAAAAATTCACTTATAAAATATAAAAAGTTACTTATAAGTAAAAAAATCACTTAAAATTATTTAAAAGTATAAAATTAACTTATAATTGTATAATTTACTAATATGTAAAGAATATTAACTTAAAATTTGAAGTAAATATTTAACTTTATTTAATTTTTTTAAGTTAAATATTAACTTATATATAAAAAAAAATATTTATAAGTAAAATATCACTTATGAGTAAAAAAAAAAAAATTCTTATAAAAAGCTATAAACGGATAATTTTACTAAAGGACGTATACGTAATTTTATTTTTTTTAAAAAATTTCAAAACCAGTGAATATTAAACTTTCAAGCATAGATTTGACGGTTATAAAAATCGCCACTAAAACCACTCAAAATCGCTCCGCTCAAAAATGCTCAAAACCGGCACTTTAAAAAACGCTCATAACCCGTACACCAAAATTCACAAGCAGGCCCTTACAGGTATAATTATCACTCAATGAAATCCATACACCAAATTAAAGGGGAAAAGAAAATGAAAATACGTACTTCACGACATGTAAAGTACATACATTCAAGCTATCACAGACTTTCCATGGAGATGTCCAGGTAATTACTAAAGCAAGTTATGAAACTTTGTATGTGTCTGGACACAAAATACATATAAAACACCAATGCCACAGAGTTAAAAATAAGTAGAATACTGAAATACAGATCCAGTCTAAAATCTGAAGAGCAGTCAACTCTGTAAAATTCCCAACCAAACAATGTTTCCCAACTGCCCATGTGTCATGGACAATTCAAGATGATATTAAGAACACGGAATTTTCTGCTCAGAACGGAATGGGGTCCACCTATGAATGTGGTGTTGGAAACTTTGTAAATAGTCTAGATGAAATCTTTAAACAAGACTTCTACAGCACAGATCATGAGCAATTTCATTATCAATCTAATTGCAGGAAAAATTTCTTATAAAGGAATAAATTGCCCATGCTAGCACATGTATGACTCCTTGACTGTAGCAGTGCAAATGAAAAGGACTCATTTAAGCAGAGGAAGTTTATAAGACTGTTATCCAATCCCATTGTAAAGCCAGGATGACAGTCCAAGACAACTCCATCAATTAAAAAAACTAGTCCCTAAGCCGCATGGCTACAAACAACTGAATATTTTAAGATTGCAAACTTACATGTTCACACTCATCAAATGACAGACCTTCCGCTCGATGAATTTGATGATCTAAAACCTTTAACGTCCTCAATAGAATAGGTTCTGGAACCATATGTAGTACTTCTTTTGCCCGTATTAACATAATTTCATTAACAATTGCTTTAAGGTCAGAAACAGTCAACGGTATCCATTCAGCTTCATCTCGTTCCTCTCTAAAAACTTCTGCTTTGCCACATAAGTCCTCCAACATTTCACAAAAGCCTTTAATAGCTGCATCTGAGGAAGCGATCATGCTCAATCCCTCAAATAGGGGAAAAGAAGACAAGATCAAGGTAAAATAAACACAAATTGTTAAAAAAAAAAAAAAACCTTGAAGCTCATGGGCATCTGGACAAGTTGTGATCTGGACATCATCTTTCCCTTTCTTTTTAATTTTTGGTTTTCGAGAAGGATTGGTAGCATCCTAAAAGTGATATCAAAATATCAGCAAGCATATTTATAATATTATTCAATTGACCAATGAGAACTTACATTATAAGCATAATGTTCATGTTGATAATTTTGGGTTGCTACAGAGTCTCTCCGCACTTGATTAGGCGTAGCCATGCTTTGCTCAAGAGGCTTTGGTTCAGCCAAATTACCACTCGGTATCGGCTCCTTAGCGGGACCTGCGAAACTTGAAAAATGCAATGAATAATAAGCTAGAAAACATACGTTATCTTCAGCAAATGTGGAATATCATAAATATAACTGAAACTTTGAAGTCAAGTAAAGTGATATTCAAAGACAGTAAATATTGTGAGAAGTGGAGGATAGCAGTTAAAAAGAACTGTAATCACAACACTTGATTATTTCTGGTGTGACTAGCCATGGAAGAATTCTTTCCTTCAAGGAGGATGCAGTTAGAAGATGAGCAGGGGAGCAAGAAAAATAAATTCTAACTGCCCTATCATGATCTAAACCCTTCAATGGTCATATCAAAGCAAGCAACAATTGCAAGGACATAATGTTCCTATAAGGAAAGGGGATACAAATTATATTCTGAGCTCTCGGGGGCAGTTAAATCAATTCAAAGTTAGTTTTCAATCATAGGGACAAAAGGTAACTAAAAAAACTTGGGCTATCATGTTTTATGTACCATACTCATAGCTGCAAGAAAATTTTGTAATTGTGTTTAGACTTAGGAATACATAAAACCACCATAACAGAAGTATTATCCAAGCAACATCATCCGGAGATCAGACCTAGGAAAACTTATACAGGAATAAAAAGATAATTTCATCGATAATTTCAGGGGATTATATTTCCCACAAATTACAACTCAAGCTCAGTTCCATCTAACCAATAAAAATTATTAGCCTCCAAGGAAAAAAATAATAATTCTTTTCATTTAAAAGAAGAAAGAACTCCTTCCGTTGTCAGTTGAAACATGATAAACACACACAAAGAACCGGCAAGCAGCTCAATGGACCATTTTACCTGGTGCGATATGCTCAAATGCTACAGGATCACATCTCAAAACTTCATCATAAAGGTTAAAATTCCCCACAGAACCACATGGTTGAGCACTGGCTTCGTTTTTGAGATTCCTACAGATAAAACCTTGTAAGCCAAACAACAGCAATTCAGAGCAGGATTCTGGGATATAAAGGATAAATACCTTTCACAAACCATTCCCATTTTGAAAATTAAAGTAACACGGCAGGCTCTCAGTAAAAATTTTGTTTCTAAACATATTATTTGTGGCATGAAGAATTTGTCCCAAAGTGATTTCGCAATAAAATTTTCTTTTATAGGAACTCTTCTAATTTACTCATGTTTATTTATTTGCTACAAGAGTATTATTACAATGCAGTCCACACTATAACAGCAGTAATTATAATAGTGGGAAAATTCAGATTTCTAACGATTTAACTACAGATTTTTGGCGTATTTCTAATAGTCAAATTCCTCTTTTTTTTTCAACGAGCAAGAAACGAGATTTTTTCCTTTCATCTGGTTATACTTTAAGCAGTTATAATTACAAAAAAAGACTACACATTATTTTTCTCATGTCAGTTTCTTACTAGAAAATGTGTTTAGAAAATTTAGTCATTAATAATATGAAGAAATAAATATATATGAAAACCATGTTTAAACCAAATTCAGAATTTGTATATTAATTCTAGATAAAAATAAAATATAGCCTTGGAATATGTTATGCACCTCTTATTGTTCCCCTGTCATATAAAAGACGGAATGAAGATTTTCTAATACTTGGTTTATTACATACTCATATTATTATATTAATCTTGAAGTAGCAATGTGATGTTGGTTCCTAAAGGCTTCTTGAAATAAGAGATTATTAATTATACATGTATCGTCTGTTTTTAGGATTTAATGAACAGGAGGATCATAATTTTAACAAGAAATTTCATCAAATTGTTTAGACAATTAATTTCTTTATTCCTGAGAATGTCGTAATTAAGGCATCTTTCTCATCCAAAAAGCTGTCTAGCATAAGATAAATAACTTCCCACACAAACACTGTTAGTCTATTTCTGATCGGAACTCTAAATTCTAATTTGACTACAAGTAGAATCAAAATCTTTAGAAGTTATAGTGCTATGACCAGATGCCATGCATATTTCTTATAATATTCAATGTTTGGCTTTTGAGTTCCATCCAAGAAACTTTAAATTAATCTTACAACTCCTTTCATGACTGGGAGGAAAATTTTATTCTATAGATATCAGAAATTGTGGGAACCACTTTATCTTTCCAATCGGGTATGACAGAAGTGACACGTGGGTCGCACTTTCTTCTGTATTACATTCTGACTAACACCCAAGGATAATGGCCTTTCGTTCTGCCACATGACCATTGACTCTATCCATTATGTTCTAACTTTTTACACGTCTTTCAAGAAAAATTGATCTGCTTGATAAGTAGAAAAATTGTTCGACACTTTCTATTCCTTGATTCTCAATCCAATACAAAAATCCCTAAAATACGTACCTAGCTGATATTCGCCACTTGGTTATCTTAATGACAGCTTTATCATCTTTCAATAAAGGTAGAGCAGACAAATATGATCATTCTAATCAATGTGTTAAATTAGGGCTTTCAACTCTTAAGTCAACAACTAAATTTTTGTAAAGGACATAAACAAAGAAGATCCAATTTAGAAAATCTTAATAATTTTTTTATTCACACAATGCAGAATTCAAATGAACTAAAACCATTAAAGGGTTCCTTAACTGAGATTATTTGAAAAGAAATTAGATTTTGGAAATGGAATGGAAAAAATACATTCAAATTTGAATTAAGTTCCTCCTATTCCAATTCTAAAGTATGATGTTAAGCAAGAAAAAAACTAATTCATAGTTGTTTATAATGTCAGTGCTTTAACAAAACAACCATAAATATAAGTAATAGGCTCCCAAGACGAAAACCACAGCTCCCAGAAATTAAACCACTTACCTAAAATTTCATCCACACATTCCTCCAAAACGCCCAAAAAAAAAATCTAAAAACAAGCTTTCCCGACTCCAAAGCTCAATTCCGCATTAATAGACTCCAATTCCTAATACCCTCAAACAAAATTTAACCAGTTACCAAAAACTCCATCCCCACATTACTCCAAAACACAAAAATTCATCTAAAAACGAACTTCTCAACTTAAAAGCTCAAGTTCCGCAATAATGGACTTCAATTCCTAAAATCCTCGAACTAAATCCCAAAAAAAAATTCACTATGATTCACTACTTAAAAGATAAAATAACCAAAATTGTACTAAGAAACTCACAAATAAGACACGTCAGTGTTGCGGAGCAGATCAGTAATCTTTCCAGCAACATCACTGTAATTAGCAAACATTCTCGAACCGCTCTGCTGCTCGAACAACCGGAGGTCCTCATCAAGCGCACCACAGAACACCGGGAGACACGGTAGAGGCAAGCACGTAGCCAGTTCGCAGTGGACTGTATTAGTTAAGCTTATACCCTTCGGTATCCCTCCCCCGCTCCCGCTGCTACTCGGAATCGACATCTTAAAATCAATTGAACCGAATAATTCAGTGCTGTGATATATAAAAAACAATCATTTGAAGTAAAAATGAGAGAATTGGGGGTTAGGTTTTGGGGAGGTAATTTTGCCCTAAAGAGAGAGGAACAAATGGCGGGGAAAAGAATATAGAAAAATTTGGGATTTTCTTTTGCCAGTGTAGCGAGTGATTACGTGCGGTGTTAATATGTCGTGGTAAACTGAGTCTACACTTGTGAATTTACAGGTATACCCTTGCTTAGTTGTCACTGTTTCTCCTGCAAAACGTTGCCGTTTTATTGAAGCTTGTAGGAGACGCTTTTTACATTTTAAGCCCTTTTTTACAACTATTAAAACAATTTTTTTCTCATACTCATTTTCAATCACCCATTATCAAAATTAAATATTTTATATGTAAAATAAAAAAAAATTCCTACTTTTTATTTACACATTCTTCAAAAAAATCACTATTTAGAAACTCATTTAATGGTATGAGCTAAGACCCAAAACAATTATTCGGTTCTCAACTAAATTCGTAAGCAATTAATAATTTAATTCAAATATTGTGATGTATGAAACTTGGCCTACGCTTAGGTTAATGAAAGTTTCTCATAAGTCAAATCTGGCCCCTATTTGGTACATATTAAAATTTCCATTCTCATTCTTCACCTCATTTTTAACCACACATTTTTCAATAAAATAATATTTTCCATCACATCAATAACTTTTCCTTCTTTTTCAACCACACATTCTTCATCAATCTACTATTCCAAAATACATTCTGCCAAAATAATATCCATCAAACACGCCCTTAAAATTTTACCATACATTCACAACTATTCTCTTGTTAATTCTATATTTCATTGGATTCATTACTATTTTTCAAGACACCTGCAAAAAGCTTTTGATGAAATCCAAACGTAGGATTGAAATTGTCCAAATGAATTCCTCCACCATTGCAATAACAGGAAACAATATTTATTGTCACTTTAAGATTTTAACATTTGAGATTCAACGTCTACTAAAAGCAAAGAAACAAGATGTGCTTTTAATAGTTAGCAAAAAGAATGAATATAATAAGAAGTGCATGTGTCGGAGGACATAAATAGACAACTACAAATCACGATATTTGACATATTTGTGTAAGGAGTCAAATGGCGAATGACACAATCTACCCCAAATATTAACAAAAGATTTCTGATGCGCGGTTATTTTCTATATTAACTATTTGGACAATAAGCAAGAAACGCGTGTTTTCATTGATACTTTGAATCGGAAGGGCATGATTTGTTTGTAAACAATGAAGACCCAAGCTTGACGTGTAGGATGTCCATCGTACCCTTCAAGATCAAAACTGGATATGATCTAGAACTCAATCATTTGATCTCAATTATGATCTCATCCCGCTCTTGTAACTTTTAGCATCGATTCAATACATGGGTCCCAACGAGATGATTTTAGATATTAAGGTGGAATAGATATAAATATAATTAATGTTCATAATCATATCTCATATGTTTATGTGACAGATCATGTCTCTATCAACTAAGAAAAACACTAAAACAAGAACCTTCTCTTCAAGGCAAATGTATTTGAGAATGTTGCATCATCTATCTCCTTATTCGAGGTGAGAGGTCATATTCCATTGATGTACATAAAAATTCTAAGTTTGCTTGCCGAAATGGAAGATTATGTAGCCGCAAACATTTCAGTTTCCCTAAGTTCTTAATGCATAAGAAAGAAAAGAAAGCAAAAGTGAGGCTCCTTGGATCCTAGCCTTTAGTTTTTATAAAGGAAAGTGATTCGAACTATTGAGGCCTTAGTAGATCTTCATGTTGAAAGCGAAGAGGCACATAACCAAATTCTAATGAATAGCACAAATTCATCCATGTCTTGTACATCTCTTCACAATAATGATTTATTTTACCTTGGGATCATGCAAGGTCACAGTTGTCACACATCCCACATCACCTCATGTCTTGTGAGTCAAGCCCAACTCACCCTAGAAATGGGACTACTGCACACAACCCTCAATAATGGTACTTTGCCTCAGTGAGTTCACCTCAGAGTCAAAAATACAATACCTCAAATAAATTACATTTGGAGGTTGAGGACTATTCTTTTACCTTAGCTCCAACATTGATGGATGCCCCTATTTATTACACAAGTATAATCGCCTCTTCAAGAAAGCTAATGCATATAATAAAAGTAACACGCCAACTACAAATTTTTGGGACTATTTTTATGCATCATCCTACGTGATAGGCCAAGTGGCTGCCAACTAAGTAAAGCACGCTCTCCTTCAACGAATGTATTTGATTGTGTCCCCTCATCTATCTTATTGGCCGAGGCGATGAGGTAACTCAATCTCATTTATGAGGCACTAGGATGAGCTCCCAACACCTTGTTGAAATTTTCTTGGAGATGACACAATACCTCACAGATTTGTCACTTCACCACTCTGAGGAGATCAGAAGGAAACCCAACCCTTGGCATACTGAGTGGGCCTCGTGATTCAAGGCAGGTGAGTTCAAATCCCTAATGCTTTAAGCAAGTTGCTATCTGACATTTAAAGCAATATTAAATATGATTGATGATAAATGTATTTCGTACACTTATTTAGGCCATTAAATTAGAATATTTGTCGATAATTTATACGACATATGACTTAATTCTATATAAATTGCATTTCGTATGTGAACATCGATGATTTGAGTGGGATTGGAGGAAAACAAACGAAAACAAGGCTAAATTTCACCAAAATCAAAATTTGGGGACTAAAGTGTAATAATTCGAAAGTTGTGTCTGGCTGCAAGATGGTGATTCAAGAGTGATAATTGTCAATTGGATGTGAATAGAAGACAAGGAGATGAAAAATAAGCAAAGAGGACCAAAATTCACATGTAAAAAGTTCAGGGACCAAACTGCAAAGTTTGGTCCAACTGCTTAAACCATGCATATGCATGGGCCTGCAGGTCCAGCGTATGCATGGTCCTTGAAGATGGATACAGGGGCTTCACAAGATGAACTGTGCGTGAGCACAATGGATCAATTCCCAGGAAAAAAATCATATTTCCTTTTCTCGTTTTGGAATGCAATCTTTTGCATATTTAAAGGCCTAGGGGGCAGTCGAAAGTTCAGATTACCTTAATTTATCATAGTGTGAGCATAAAAGAAAGAATTTACATTCAAGAAGGGGGGCGATATTTAAATGAAGATTTTGAGTTTTCAAGTTCATCGTATTCCTAGCCTCGAGTGATGTTGTTTCTATTTCTTTTGTGTAATTTTTACATGAAAATGCTAGACTAAACATTTTTATGCATTGGATGGATGATGAAACCATTGATTTATAGTTTTTAATTCAAAACTTAACATTTCTTTTAGTTAATTCATATGTTTGTGATTGAATATGCATTAATTACATTTTGTTTGAATGTTTGAGCACCATTTAGACAAATAAGTTACTTATCCGTAGTGTTGAAAGTAGAGATGGGCGTGGGTTGGGTTAGATTGTATTGATTTTTTCCCTAATTGATCGGTTTGGGTTGGGTTGGGTTGGTCAATTTGGATTTCAGCCCAATAAAAGTTGAATTCGATTACCTTTTATTAAATGTAAGCAATTTTCCGAAGTTTGAAATTACTTGAAAACATTCATTTTTTTAACACATATACAAGGAATTCTTCTAAAAAATAATGTATAAATAAGTTTAAAATCATGAAGTATTTTTTTTTTTTACAATTTTTTTGGGATCATTAATTTCATTATCATATCCTTAATTTTTATTTTATCGTTAAATAACTTTACATTTTTGCATAGTATTCACATCAATCCGTTATGAAAAATATGGACATTTATAAATTGTAAGTCCTTATCTTATCTTCACTATTGTACCTATTTAATTTTTTTTATTTTAAATATATATATTTTTAATTTATTGGGTTGAGTTGGGTTGGATTTGATTTTAATTTATGACCCAAAACTCAACACAACCTCAAATTTGATTTTTCAACCCAATCCAATTCAATTAAACTTAAAAACCAATCGGTTTAGGTTGGGATGGTCGGGTTGCGCGTTTTGGGTTGGGATGGTCGAGTTCTAGTTGGAAGATTCACAAAAGTAGAATACTACATATTTAACACATGCATAATAGATATTATGAATAATATTTAAAACGTGTGCAATCGTGTGACACTACAACAAAATTAATATCTTATGACATTCGTTTACGATTTGCATATAAGGCATGCCGTAAATGATCGATTACTTTAATTATTTATGGCATACATTATGAGTACGCCGTAAAAGCTAAATATTTACGGAATAATTCTAAAGCATTCCTTATAGATTGATAGAAAAATGTTTACGACTTTTATTTAAAAAAAAAAAAAAACTAAAAGAGGGTTTTTTTCGGGGAATATATAGTTGCACGCCGTTAAAAGCGCAAGATAAATTTATAATTTTTTTTACGAAATACGTATTGGCACACCATAAAAAATGTAAGATGTGTTTGATTACCTTCTTTTTCCATGGAAAATGAAAAAATAATTCCATTTTCCAACAAAAAACCATGTTTGATTGGCATAAAATGACTGCGAAATTATTTTCTTGGGACAGCCTCCACACGCGGCTTTTACTCCAAATTGGTGAAAACCAATTCTCACCTAAAACCTGCCGTCATTTTTTACTTTATTTATTTATTTTTTTTAGCAATAGAAACAAATTTCATAACCAAGTGTAAAAAAAATTTCACTTTTATGGACAATTTTGATGTGAACGAAGATCAAACGAATACTAACTTTGATTGAAAAAATGATTTTTTAGGAAACATTTTTTTTCGTTTTTTTTTTTTACTTTTTGGCAATGGAAACAAATTTTATAACCAAATGTGGAAAAAATTATTACTTTAATGGACAATTTTGATGCAACCAAAGGCCAAATGAACACAAAATTTAAAAATTTTTCGGGTGAAAAATTATACCAATCACACACACTTAATTAACAATCCGCTGTAAAATAATTTCTAGACAATTACTTTTCTTGGAATTCATTTTTTTTTTTTTTTTTTTTTACTTTTTGGCAATGGAAACAAATTTTATAACCAAATGTGGAAAAAATTACTACTTTAATGGACAATTTTGATGCAACCAAAGGCCAAATGTACACAAAATTTAAAAATTTTTCGGGTGAAAAATTATACCAATCAAACACACATAATTAACAATTCCCTACAAAACAATTTTTAGATAATTATTTTCCATGGAATTTATTTTCTTTCCATCCATTTTTACCCTTCCTATCGAACGGAACCTAAGATGTAAAGCTCGGATTTTTTACGTCATATAGAATTAAGCTCTTATGCCAGGCCTGTAAAAGGCCTGGCATAGTTGAGCACTCACATGAGGTGGGTCCCCCACCTCATTAAAAAACCCCCCCCAAATGTTAAACACTCACCCCCATCTCACAATTTGCTCTGCCAGGCCTTTTGCAGGCCTGACTGAGCAGCATGATTCAAAAAAAAAAGGCACAACTTTTTAGTGCGTACATCCCTTTCTTCCTTTTTCCCCCTTCCTATGCTTTCGTCTTCTCGTTGTTGCCCAAACCCTTCTCTTCCACGATAGATGACTTGTTTAAATCACAAATACCCTATTTAAATCACACAATTACCCTTCAGCAAAACCCTAACTATCTTTATTGTTTATCGACTGTCTTGTGAGCTACTATAAGTCGAGATCTGCTCCATTAATGGTGACTCCTAAAACTGTGAAGGACGTCTCTCCTCACGATTTTGTGAAGGCTTGCGCCGTTCACCTGAAGCGCTCCGGCAAAGTATTTTGTGCAATTGTATTTGGACCTTTTTATGGATGTTATACAGACTTATAGACATGTATTTTGGAACGGGCATGAGCCTTCTCCTCGTAAAGTATGGCAACAAACCTCTGATTAATTACTGTCAATTAATTTTTGTACAAAAATTGAATGTTTATTGATGGGTTAAATGCATCTTTTCCAGTATACATTTTGAAGCTGTTATCAACGTGTTCAATGTTAAGGATTGACTGGAGATATATGCGTTGATTGAACATGAATATTGTTTTTCTTCTTCATAAAAGAATAGAATATGAAACTTATTAACGAAACTAAGAACCTTCCCAATACTAAGCTTCCTTGAAAACTCTCTGCTCTCTCACAGGATACCAATGAGGAAAATTATAAATTTTACCCCACAGCTTCAATCCAACAAAATGAAGCTATTTACATCATCACATAAGAGCATCCCAACAAAGGAGAGTAACCAGAAACGGATTTTGAATAGACCTGGTTCCATCAGCACTGTATGCCATTGTCGTGCACCAAAGTCCAGGAGCATCATGATCTACTCTTGATCCCAAGGAATCATAAACCCATGCTTTTATTTTTCCATCAATGGCAGTAGAGAAGATAAATTGCAGATAAAAAATAAACTCCAGAGATGGATTGTACGTATATATTTGAACAATGTGCCTCGAAAAAGCAACACCTTCAAAAGCAATGGTCTAAAGACCAGTAATAATGCATCAATTTATTGTAAATCAAAGGCTGGAAGAAGATTTTCTTTTACCGAGTATAGATCCATCAGGACCCCATATGCATTGAGTAACAGATATGGTGGCGTCTTTAACTAATGTTGTCTCATTGACTCCACATATTTTAATTAAAAAATCACAAAGAAGTGAGGAACTTAAAAATTCAAGAAAATACTCACTTGGAATGGCATTGACAAGCTGATATATCCCAAACCTTGAAGTTTTTTAGTGCTAGCCTATCTCGGGAACCAACTTCCCAAATGCTAATGTCACCAACATTTGTTCCAACTGCAAAGTAGATAATCGGCGGTCGTGTATCAGAGATGAACATTATGAATTTCTCCTCTATAGAATTGCATAATCTAGATGATTGTGTTGCCCAAAAATACAACTCAATCAGAACTTTTAAGCAGTTAAAAAGCAGAAGCAAAATGATAAAAATCAATCAAGGATCAACCTAGAAGAACCCTGAAAGGAATTCTAATTTTTGTGTATGAGTTGAAGAGAATCTTTCGGAAATAATTTTTTTTAGCAAATATCAAAGATCATAAAAGTAGGGAAAAATAATATTTTTAATGGCCATATTTAAAAAAAAAAAAAAATTCTGGCTCTGTGGTGTCTGGAGCAAATGCTCCGTGTGTCACGGAGCAGTTTTTTTTTATTTTTAAATCCTGCAAACTTACAATTTTTTTTTTTTACTTTAATATAAATAAATGAAGGGATAATTTTTATTTATTTATTGTTGTTATTTAATTAGTAGAAATTTAACTTTACAAACAAAAGAAAAAAATAATCAAACCAAACCAATTCCAGTGTGTAACGTAACATAGCATAAATTGCAATTTCTTAAATATAAAAATTATAAACATCCAAACTAAACGAATAAAAGCAAAAACACATACATTTTCATAAGGGTGTATATGATAAAACAAAAGCAAAAACACATACACTAATGTTTAATTCCATCATTTATCTTTAATGTGATATTTTTTATTTATATTACCAACTTAAATTAACCAAATACACATATTATGCTCAAAGTTAAAACATATAGTGAAAATCACAATTATCTCCAAAAATTTACACTTCACCCACAACTAATTCAGGTTCCTTACCTTTATCTTACCTGATGGCCTTTATCATTTTCTCCTCTTATCTTTTTTCAAGATTTTCGTTTGTTGCCCGTTCTCGGTGAAGAAGAGAAAGAACTTTTTTTTATATAAATAAATGCAAAGAATAAGAAAAATGCAACCACCGCCTTTCACTAAATAAGAAAAATACAATCACCGCCTTTCACTAAGGAAAATACCGCCTTTCGACACCTACATTTTTGACCAAATCTTTATAATTTGATTATCCTTTTTCTTTTCTTCAATTTAATAAATTTTCTCGCAATATTTTGTTTCTTGTGACTTCCACCGTCTACATTTTTTTTACCAGAGATTCTCCTTTTTCTCTTCTTCAAAACAATTTATTATCCAGCGTTTTGTTTCTTATGAAGAGGGAGGGAGGATAAAATGGGAAGAGATAAATACGTCCCATTTGAATAGTGAACAGAGGATTCCCTCTTTTAATAGAAGAGGGAATAATGTTTAAACTAGTTTTGGTTTATATCTTGAAAATGGATAATTGCACTTTGTTAGAATTAATAGTTAAGTTTATCTTTAATTTACATAAGAAGCATATGATAATTCATTTTGTTTTTGCAAGTCCACATAATATGGGACAACTAAATTGCTAATCAAAGAAGCAAACTTCCAAACGGATTGATTATTTTGTAACATTTTAGTCTATACATTTGTTATACTGCTATCAACTTTTTTAGAAGGCTATGTTCTTAGAATTATTTATATAAAGTCTACACTTTGACCTATTGTATCGAACAGTACTCAATATTTTTGTTTATCGGAACTATGAATAATATAATTATATACGGATTAATGTATATAATTTTGTTCTTTAATTATTATAGGTTTGTTGATTAAATTTTTTTTAAAAATGACATTTACGGCGTGTAATAAAAGTACGTCATAGAAAAATATCATCTTGTTTATGGCATACGTGTGCATGACATCTATACGCCGTAAAAAAAAAAAAAAAAACTCTGTTGTAGTGTGAGATAGTCGTGCAATTGAATGTGTGTTTTCATATGAATTCGGACTAAGAATTTGATCAGATCGTGTTAAGCATAGTTTTAATATAATTTGAAAAAGAATATTAGATATCAATAGAATATCAATTGTTATGAACACATTAATAACACTAACTTATATAAGTCGAGATTTAGAACTATATATCAATAGGTGAAATCAAAAAAATCAATACATTCATCTCGTTATTTGATGAAAATCAATCTTGCATAGCTTTTATAGTTTAAATTAGAATAATAACTAAAACAACTCTTTTGTATTACAATAGATCAAATTTGATAGTGACTAATACATGATAACTGAATATTATTCCTCGTAGGATGATATACGTACTCACTTGTTAAGGATTTCGTATGCTTGCGAATTTTATCCGACCAATTGATTTGACATCTTAACAAAGACAATTGATAGTCAAATCCCTACAAATCCGTTGAGGACAGGGTGTGGAAGGTCACAAGCCTATGATGGTTACTATGTGACACCATTAAACTTGACATGTAAGTTGTATAGATAAAGTTACGTGTCAAGCATTCGAGGGACCTCATTTGCATCTTTTTTTGCCTATAAACACTCACACTTAGGGTCCGTTTGATTGCAAATTTGAAAAATGGGAGGAAAGAAATTGAATTTTAGGGAATTGAATTGCTTAGAAATTGTTTTACTGGGAATTATAATTAATTGTGTTTGATTGGTATAATTTTTCACTTAGAAAATGTTGAAAGTTTGGTGTCCATTTAACTTTATTTTTCATGAAAATTATCCATTAAAGTGATATTTTTTTTACCATTGGGTCTAAAACTTGTTCCAATTGCCAAAAGATAAATAAAAAATAAAAAAAATTATCCCACCGAATACTATTCGTTTGACTTTGTTTTCCATGAAAATTGTCAATAAAAGTGATAAATTTTTTACCATTGTGTCTTGAATTTGTTTTCATTGCAAAAAAAAAAAAAAAAAAGTAGAAAATCNAAAAAAAAAAAAAAAAAAGTAGAAAATCAAAACCTACTAAAACAATTCCTCCACAACATGGAAAAGACGTGAGGAGAGATGGAGGAAAACATTTTCCGGATAAAATTTTCGCTATCAAACAGTGCAAAAGATGGAAAGTGGAAAAAAATTTCCAACTTCCAAGAAAAATCTTGATTATCAATTATCAAACATGGCCTTAGTGCTATTTGAAGGTAATCTTCTATTGATATTCTAACTCTCAAATTTGAACTCTACTATTGTATTCTCATTTTTTCATATTTCTTACACACCCAATTTGTTATCCACTTGTTTGACCTGAGCTTTAGCGCGCATTTCATTGTGGGGCCTTTCACTCATACCTCTAACGTGTGTCTAAGTGTTCACATAATATCTATTGGATGGAGAAGAGTTGGAATCTATGATGCCATTGCCTGCATCTTGCTAAATTCGGAGATCAAGAGTACTTATCACATGCCAAGAAAAAACACAAAATAAATTTTGCATATAAAAATAATTTTAGTATAAATATATCAATCAAAATATTCTCTCTTCTCTTTTTCACTCGCTATGAGAATTTTTTCATAGACGAAATTGTAATGCAAACGTATTAAAATATATCACATTCATTGGACAAAGTATATGATTGAGTCAATTGTCACCTACACCGATAATCATCGTAATTAATGATGAATAGCATTAGTCGAGAGGAAAACATCTTCAAATAGACAAGGGTGTGTTTGGCTAAGTTCAAAATTAATTCAAACGTAGGCAAACGTTTTATCCAAACATGCCTAAATAATAACGACGGCTTGTTTGATGGTAAAATAAAGTCACTTTTAAATAAATAACTTATTTTCAATTTAACTAAAAAGGATTTTTTTTATTTTAAAACTTACTCATCCACTATAACATATTTTTAAAGTCTTCTACTTAACTCATGTTTGACTCCCATTAAAACAAAATTCTTTATATCTCATACTCATTTTCAATCGTACAATAAAATTTTATGTACGTAAACTCAAAATTCTTTACTATTTTTTAATAACACATTCTCCAAAAAATCACTATTCAAAACATCATTTTTCTCAAATTTCTTTATAATGGCCATCAAATAGGGGCTTAATGGAGATGATCTATAAATTTAAAGAATAATATTTTTCACACACTCTAATAGACTCTTTATTTTTAGCTCTTTATTTTACCTTTTTTAATAAAGAGATGAACTATCTTGGAACTACTTTGATATGATTGTTGTTTTAATTTCTCTAGATTATTGTTGTTTAATTTGTGATGTTGAAAGTTGAAGTACCATGTTATTTTCACAGCTTGAAGTTTCTTTCTTGGTGATGATGTACTATTTTCATTTATGAACTTAGTGATGTCGTTGGTTGTAGAACTGATGTTGTTATTTTTTTCTTTAATTTGTCAATGATTGATTGCTTGTTTTATTTGAATCAATGATGGTTGATATGACTTATGATAATTACAGTGGATATATTTTGTTCCCAGTATGACCATGTGGATGGTAATGTGAGTATCGATGCTTCCATTGATGAAGATTCGAGTGATGATGATTTATTATTTATGAATGATTTTGACATAAATTTTGGAGATTTAATGATGCTTAATTGCTTTGTTGCCAACAAAGGAATTACCATCGGCACGAGACCTTGTAAAACATTATTGCTTACAGGAAAAACGTAAATGCTATAAATTCTGAATGGACATCCGGATGTGTGCTATCGTAATTCACGTATGCAGAAATACATTTTCATGAATTTTGTAATATTTTGAAAGAGAAAGGGCCATTGAAAGATGGAAAAAAAAGTGAGCGTCAAAGAGGCTGTTGCTATATTTTTTATGATTATAGGGCACACTACACAATACAATATTATTGGTGATAGGTTTCAAGATTTCAACAACACGATACACAAATGGTTTAAACGAGTGATAAGAGCTATTTGTACATTTGGCACAGAGATAATCCGTCCAATTTCTAATTGTATCGATTGACCTGTTTTGCCTAATTTAATTTATGTTTTTTATTAATTTTATACGAGATAAAATGATAATTTTAGCATTCCAACAGCACGATACACAAATGGTTTAAACGAGTTGTAAGGGCTGTTTGTTCATTTGGCATTGAGATAATCCGTCCGACAAATCAAGACATTGTGCATGAGCAAATTTTGCACAAATATCATTTATTTAA